GATAATACTTGAATGAAACATTGGACATGTAAAGTTTAGTTTAATAATGGCTAGCTTCACCATTAACAGTATACTTATACATACAACAGCAAGAAGTTATAAGCATTGAAAGGATTCATATAAAAAACCCAATGCCAAGAAAGTAGAATTAGAATATTTAGCTGACCTTCGACTTTGTGCAAGGTGTTTGATATTCAAATTGCACTTTTCGGTCTTTTCCTGCATCCTGAACAGGCGTATTAGCAATCTCGTACCCAGAGTATGCCCGTTCGCAAGTACGTTAGGTCATGCCCAGCACCTAACCTGTCAACGGGCATACTCTGAGTTGTTTACATGATGGAAGGTGGGATAATTTTGATGTATTGAAATAAGTCACTAGGCTAAACGAAAGTTCAAATGCTGGTTAACCGAACTCAAATGTTGTAGAGAAGATCATGTAGTTGAAGAAGATTTTTATAGCTTTTCGAACAACCTTTCGTTTACAGTTAACTGTAATCCATCTCTAGAAAACAAAGTTTTTCACGAAATCATCGCGCATTATATCTCGTCCTGGCAAAGCGGTTTAAGCGGGATCCGTTTAAACAGCCCTTATTCAGCAAATTGCGTATGCTCCCTTGCCTTTGATCCCTTTGGGGAGTGAGGCAGCACTTTCCTTGCGATAGTAACGTCTAGTAAAGGTATAAATTTATGAATGATATTTCAATTGTCTGAGATTGCTTTTACAGGAAGTTTGGAATATACCGCAAAGTAAAATGTCGTTTATTTTAGGTTTTTGCAACCTCTCCAGATAATGTTCTCTCAGGTTTTGTCTCAGAGGCCTCTAAAGTCATCTTACGGATTCGCGATCGCGACTATAATTCCTCCGAGCTCCTATTTGATATCTCCAGAAATAATGCGTCTCAACATTTTATTATGGACTGGCAGAGTAGCGCTGTCATTGTAGAAATACAATTTCAGAGATACTATTATTCAAATAATAGAGTCAAGATATTTCTCACAAGTCGACCAAGTAAGTTTTCATCTTTTGTAAATACTTTGAGAACAGGTATCGCTTAATTCTTGCCAATATATATGGTAAGTCACATTGCATAACACTAAAAATAGTTCTAGTAATTCGACGTTGTGTTCGGTCGACATCCGTACAGCCTTGAGGAACAAGGAAGAGTTTCGCTCTCGACTAATCGGTGCATTTGTTGACATTTTCCATAATTGGTTATTACTTCCGGTAAAAAACACACATTTGAACAAAAAATATAGGGTCTTAAATAAAGCTTCGAGGGGGTGAGGATTTTAAATTTTTTGATTGGATTTAACGTGACAAGGTAAAATAAGTAAAATAAGAAATTTTCTAAAAATTTGCCGCTGTGATGTGCGTTTTCTTGCCTAGTTTTAAAGTTATCGGCATTCGAACAGCGGCGTATAAAAAGCGCGTAAGTTCGAATGCCGATAATTTTAGAACTAGGCAATAAAACGCAAATCCCAGCGGCAAATTTCTAGAAAATTTCTTATTTAACCTTGTCACGTTGAATCTAAAAATCTTGACCCCCTCGAAGCTTTTTTAGACCCTAGATTTTGAGTATAGACGTTCCCTGGTTAAATGATTTATTCTTCACAAGCTTTCGACTGTCAGTCTACAGTCTTCAACGGGTAGATTATAATGAAAGTGATGCGAGGCATATTTAAACCTGTCCAAATGTTTCGAATTCCAACGTTTAATCATTTGCGTTAATCATACTAACTACCAGCCAATATTTTCTCTTCAAACATTTGCTGGAGTACCCTACTTAGCAATTTGGAAGGTTAGGTGCAAACTGTGAACCTAGTAGGTGGTCTTGCAACAAATTGTTGTTCCGGCGTTCCGCAAGGCTTGGGGACGAGCGGTGGTATTTGGATTAGGGAAAGACCACTGCAAGTGGTATCTTGAACTGGTTAGAGGTCTGGATTTTAGTTGAAACTTAGAACAGAATTTTCACATACAGAGATGAGTTGTATTTGTAAGAAAATTTTAAATTGGTGCAAAAGCATTTCTCAACTATTAGAGTGTATTTCTTCAAGTCTAATGAAAGGAGGTGGAGCTCATAGGCCGTGGGCCGTTATGCGAAAAAGTGCTAAGAAAAGCAATTTCGTGGCAACCCTCTGGGGAATAGATTTTCTGTGGTCCAATTCTTAGTACCATAGGTTTTCAATTACCACAAAACGTTCCCAAGCAAAAAATTTGCCAAGCACCGAGAAATTGGGTGATCAGTGATTATCCTCTATTAAATTGTATTACAGCAAGAAAATATGAAATTTTGTATTCAATTACAACAAAAATGACTTGCATCATCAGAAAGCTTACAAAAATCTGCATATAAGACATTTAAACAGTAGTTTTTTTTGTTTTCGAGTTATATGCTGTCAAAAACGCGTTTTTATTTACAAGTTTGCCATTGCAATAGATCTATATAGAGTACTATGGGTACAAATGACTGGAATTTCCACACAGAGATAGTTCTCCAATAACGGGGTTACAAAAAAGAACAACTAATGGTATATCTAATTATTTTGAAATTAAAACAAACATAAAAATTAAACACAAATACAAGAGACAAAGCAAACGTGATTGACGAACAAACGAACAAAAACTAAATTTAGCAACATGTTCGAGTTGATAACTTCATTAGTGGGCGAGTGGTGTGACATTTAATACACACACACTTAAATGTTCTTGGATCTTCAGGGTCATAAATTTGTAGGGTTAACTCTACGTAGTATTTCGTTAGATTACATTTAAATGTAGTTAATTAGAGATGTGGTGGTATTTCTTATGAAGCCGGGAGGCGTGTTCCATACATTAGCAGCTCTGATGTAAAAGCTGTTTTGAAAAGAAACAGTTTTACTTTTGGTTGCATGAAGTAGGATGCCGTTAGTTGAACTAGTATTCCTTGTCCTAGTACCCAGTCCTTATTGCGACATTTTGGTCCAATTTTCACAATTAAAACAGCAATAACTCAAAGACTATTTGAAGGATCAAAAAACTGTTTAAAAGTTAAAAGTCTTATATGTAGATTTTTGTAAGCTTTCTGATGATGCAAGTCATTTGTGTTGTAATTGAACACAAATTTTCACATTTTCTTGCTGTAATACAATTTAATAGAGATTAATCACTGATCACCTATTTTCTCGGTGTTTGGCAAGTTCTTTGCTTGGGAACTTTTTGTGGTAATCGAGCATCTATGGTACTATGCATTGAACCACAGAAAATCTATTCCCCAGAGGGTTGCCACGAAGCGAAATAATTTTGGCCAACGGCCCACGGCCTATCATGTTGATTAGTTGCTGTCAATCGCAACCACACTCACTGACTATACACAGCGATCAAACTTTTAAACTTGTGTCCAAGATTTAGCATATTTCCACAAACAATCCTGAATTTAGCCTAGTATACGTTGACCGGCTAAGAAACGCATGGCACGTGCCACGTGTTGCAGCTATTTTAATATGTTGCTTTTCGCGCGTGAGGAAAAAAATTCGCACACGAGACCTAAGCTTTTCAACTTGACACTCAATAACCACTGAGATTGAAGAAAAAATGTTGTTGCTTTTATTTCAGGAAGTTCACTGGAAAGCAACATTCACGTGATTTCGAACGTGACTATACGTCGATTTACGAACACGGGAATCAGTCTTGATGTGAATCACGACACGACGGTCATAAAAAATTGTCTTATAACAAATGCAAATGCAAATTGTGTATCGGTGTCGGGAGAACGATCTGCAGTGGAACTATTAAACAATACATTTCAAGACAATGGTAACTCGGCTTATGCAACGTCCGTACTCGTATCATCCATCAATTACTATGTCTCTTTCTACGCAAATGGAAACACCTTTTATAACAACAACGTGACCAAGATGTTGAAACTTTTCATCACATATGATGTAGCAAGAACTGTAATTAAGATCGCCAATAACGACATCCTTAATAATACTTGCGAGAATCTGGTTGACGTGGAATATGCAGGAAATTCTTACGCAAGTAGTCTTCGCAGTTCACAGACAATTTCTCTAGCGAATAACTACTGGAGACACAATCAAATGCGAAGTACCTCAGTAATATTAAAGCGAACCAATAATTGGTATTGTACTGGGTACATAATTAACGTCTTGCTAATGGAAAATGACTTTCTGGACAATATAGGTTTGGGCATTGTTAACATCCAATCCTTGTTCAGTTCTGGCAGGGGGATTGTTGACATCCAATACCTATCGACAAGCATCATCGTTAACTCAAATTTTCTTCAAAGGAATGTTTTAGAAAAAAGTGCAATTGTTGCAGCATTACAAGGTTATAATAATGATATTTCATTATTACATAACAGATTGTTCAATAACACAGCCGAGAAATTGGTTGACGTCACTGGAAACGGTCCGATGGTTGTCATTCGCAACAACAGCATGGTGCACAATGAAATTGATAAAAGTATCTTTAACCTTATTACTGGCAGTGATATTCCGTATTTAGCACATTACAGGGTTGCCGGTGATATTTCATTATTACATAACAGCTTTTTCAATAACACAGCTGAAAAATTGGTTAACGTCATCAGAAATAGTTGGAAGGTTGTCATTCGCGACAATAGCATGGTGCACAATGAAATTGATAAAAGTATTTTTGACCTTGTTACTGGCATTGACATTCCGTATTTAACACATTACAGAGTTGCCAGTAATATTTCATTATTACATAACAGCTTTTTCAATAACACAGCTGAAAAATTGGTTAACGTCGTCGGAAAGAGTCGGAAGGTTGTCATTCACGACAATAGCATGATGCACAATGAAGTTGACAAAAGTATCTTGAACGCCTATGGTGCGGACAGTTTTAAATTTACCAGAAATAGTCTGATTGCAAATGGCCTTCGTCGACGTTATTTATCATTACCCTACAATGCCATCTACAATGTGTCTGCTGTAATTTGCTCCAGCAAAATCATACGGACGTCTCTCAATGAGAATTTCTTTGAAAACCCACTCTTTCCGTGGGAATTGATATTCACGCAAACTTTCAAGCCATACGAAATTGACGGTAAATACAATTGGTGGGGTTCCAAAGACGAAAAGGAAATAATTTTGAGGATTTTTGATTTCCGTTGGCGAAATTATTTACCTCGACTGAACTTCTCTCCCTTTCTTGCAAGTGCTAATCTTTCCGACGTTTTCACCGGAGAAACAAAGGTGAACTTTCGTAATGATAGCGTAGAGAGAAGACAGGCCGACCTGTGGAGACACTAGTAGGAATGTTATATGTATATATAACATTCTAATATTATTGTACGTAGTACAGCTAGTGTAACGTGTTTTAGTAATGGTTTATAAGATTGCAATATGGATTTCAAACGTTCTTCTTTGTAAATTACGTTATATAGACGTTATAAACTGAATGTGAGAGGGGGAAATTGGGAAAAGGAACGAAATCGGGCTATGCAAGGCAAAACCTGAGTAATAATATGTTTCACACATGATGCATACTTACCTGACGCAGGTACTTACATGCGTCAGGTTCTTCACCCTTGCAGTGGAGGAGCTATGCTTGGTAACATGGAACCATAACTCTGCTGTCAAGGTATCAACTAGCTGCAGTTCTTCTTGCAGACACGCCCTCGTCTTTGTTCTTGTCTTCCGGTTGACTGGCCAGCCTAACTTGTTAGGTGTTTAGGTACCAACCACTCCACTTCTTTTTTCTCTTTGCCTGCTTGCCTTGGTCTTCGGATCTTGGTCAAGTAGTTTTCCTGGCTGTGGGACTGGGTGGCTAGCACCCAGCACAGTCTTAAGGCCGCCAGTACCAGTGTTTTATTGTTTTACTAGGTAGTGGTGACTAGTGTGTTTCTGGTTGTTTCCTGTCGAGTGGTCTAATTAGGGGATCACTCAAAGGAAGGCTGTCTTTTTTGGTCTTTGTCTTTGCCTTGTTGCGGGCACCAGCTTTGGGCTGTTCTTGTCCGTTCCCTGGTTTTCCTTTTTTTTCCTGGGTTAGTTGGTGATTGACGTGTTGGTTCAATCACTGTTTGTGGTACTGCTCCTTTTGTTGGTGGAGTAGTCTTTTGTACCTGGGGTTTTTTTGTGATTCGTTTGTTAATCACTCTTTTGTTAAGTGTTGTGCTAGTCAGGGCACTCCTTTACTTAACCTTTGTCTTTGGTGATTGTTTTGGGGCAATCACTCTTTGTTTTCAGTGCAGTCGCTCCTTTGTACCGTTTTTTGGTACCTTTGTCTTGGCGATTGCTAGGTGGTACAAACCGCTCTTTGTACCCTTTGTTTTTTGTTTTTTTGGTGATTGGTTTAATCACTCTTTTTGTTAGGTTCTGGGCTAGTCGCGCCCATTTACTTAGCCTTTGTCGAGTGTTTTTGCACATTTCCGTGCAGTCGCTCTTTGTTTGTACCAATTCTTTTGGTGCTTTTCGTTAGGTTTTGTGCAAATTGTGCACATTTACTTAACCTTTTTTACGATTGCTGTTTGTAAATTTTATCACAATCGTCTTATAAAGTGTATTAGTATATAGTATATATCTATCTCTGGCTTTTCCTTCTTTTTTCTAATCGGTGGTCACCTTTAGTGGTTGCACTGCCCGTTTTTATTAAGGATCAGTCAGATTTAGTGTTTACGTGGCGCAGAGCGTTACCTCTGTGAGCCTTTTTTCACTAATACACATATAACACACATATATTATATTACACCAATATACACATTTTAACAACAAATATGTCTTCTCCTAACTTTACCGCGGCAGATTTCGCGAAATGGAATCAGACTTCATCTTGCTTTCGGATTCCTAAGCGTCTGATCGCAAAGGATTCTGTTTCCCAAGTTAGGGTAGCACTTATTCAGGCCATTGGGTCAGCAAAGGTTTCTGCTGTTCAGGCGTTGCCTGATAATAAATATAGGCTGGAATTTACTTCCCAGCAACATAAAACCTTTTTTGAGATTCATGGTCTTGATTTTCGTGGGGTTCATATCACCCCTACACCGGCATATGAACAATTTATTAGGGTCATTGTTGATCGTGCCCCCATTCACATGCCGGATGCATATATAACATCCTCTTTAGAACCATTTGGTCGGGTAGTTAGTGTACAACACCTCACCGTTCGGGGTTTCCCCAAAATACGCACTGGCACCCGCATGGTTTCTATGTCCCTCCTCAAGCCTATTCCACCGGAGCTCACTATAGCCAACTTTAAGTGCTCAATTAAATACCGTGGGCAACCAAAGTTTTGTTTTGGCTGTCGCTCCTTTGGGCATTTTGTTCGTCTGTGCCCGCAGTCGTTGCTTGGCACTCAGGCTAGGAGGACTATGGCTGAAGTTGCGTCCACCAACAGCAATCCTGACCCGCCGCAGGTGCCTGTTCAGCCTTCTTCTGTGACTGCCGCTGTTTCTGCTAGCAGTCCTGTTAACGTTGGGGCCACAACATCGCGAGATTATGTCTCGCCTTCTTCTGCCCCACCTCGTCCTACTGTAGCCATGGACGTCTCTTCTTCAGAGGAGTCGGTTCATGTCACTGCAGCACCCTCTTCCACCTCCCAGGACACACCGATTGGATTGTCAATCCATTTAAGTGACTTTAAGGACTCTGTCGCTTTTAGTGGCGATTTCTCTTATTCTCGCCGTGTGTCCTCTTTTAAGCGTGTTGCAAAAACACGTAGCCCTGATCGGGCCACTGCCAGGAAAGTAATCCGTTCTCGTCGTCTTGACGAATTTGCCATCCGCCGCAACCAAGATGGTGTCTCTGTTGTTGCTGCTACTTCAGTCTCGGTGGCTGTTGTCTCTACGCAACAACAACCTGTTGCTTCTCCTGCAGTTGTCACCTCCAACCGTTATTCGGTTCTGGAGGATGAGGCAGCTGAGCCGGCAGCATTTGAGGAGCCTGTCCCTTCAACAGCTGCTCCTGTGGAAAGCCCTCTTGCTCAAGCCGCTTCTCCTTCTGTGGTCACGCCTACCAGACCTGTCACAAGTGACGCTCCGGCTGATCTTGCGGCCCTGGGTGAATCTGTCGTTGACCCGCTTGCCTCTCCTTTGTCTGCTCCTCGCACACCATCCGCTGTATTGCCTGTGGAGTCTTTACCTGAGGAGTCTTCGCCGGTGGCTGTCATGCGCACCCCTCCGGCTGATGTACCCCCATCAGATTCTGCGGCCAGTGAATGTAGCATTGGGGAGTTTTCTTCTCCACCAAGTGCAACTCGTGCACCGGCTTCTTGTGGAGCCATTGTCCCATATGTACCATCAATGCCTGGTCCGGATGCGTCTCTTGTTGCGCATTTGCCAGCTGTTCCCGCCTCTCCTCTTTTGTCATGTAGCCTGCCATCTTTGCAGTTGGATTCACCAAGTTGGTTTTCGTCCAATTTGTCTGACGGCCATCTTACGACGCCTTCTTTTAACCCTGGATCGGTTAGATCGCCGGCTTCATCAGAGGAGTCTTTTTATACTCTGTCCTTAGAGCCGTCATTTCAGTCGGGGGGCAGTGATCATTATTTTTCAGATGGAGATCCCTCTCCACCTGCGTTTACGGGTGTCTCAATCGAGCAATCCGGTGTATTGGCTATACAGGATGCTGACCAGGCTCCTGGTAGTCCTTCCTTAACACAACAAAATGTACAATTTAATTAGTTTAAATATTAACGGTCTTAATGACCAACTTAAACGAACTGCTCTGATTGATTGGCTGAAGTGCATGCACGCGGATATTGTCTGTCTGCAGGAGACGCATGCCGCATCTCACGCTGTCATTCAGAGTTGGTTTCGAAATTCTGGTTTTTTGGTCGCTTCCTCATCTGTTTCGAACAAGCGGTGTGGAACGGCAATACTAGTGAAGGACACTTTCACGATAACACAAATTAAACGGGATGAAGAGGGGCGATTCTTGCAGGTCGAGGTCGCCCTGGAGGATCACAAACTTCGCTTTGTCTCTTTGTATGCGCCGAACAAGAATCCGGCACGTAACACCTTTTTGTCTTCTGTCCCCGACTTTGTGGATCTTGCTTATCCCACGTTCATCTGTGGTGATTTTAATGCGGTCCTCGATCCTCAACTGGACAGGCGGCGTAGAACATCTTATGCCGGCCCTTCTCGGTCCTCTCTATATCAGGAAAGTGTTGCAGCATTGCAATCGTTACTTGATGCAACTCAGACCTTTCCAGTTTGGCGTACACGGCATCCTACCGAGGTTGTCTATTCCTGGGACCACCCATCTGGGGAATTTTCCTCACGTATCGATATGATATGGGCACCCACTTTACTTCAGCAGTCCATAGGCGATTGCAAATACCACCCTTCTTTTTTTTCCGACCACCGATATATGCTTCTTTCTTTTAACACAGACGACGTGTTTGCACGTGGTCCGGGGGTCTGGAAATTTAACGCGTCTCTTTTGGACGATACTGACTATTGTTCCCTCACTCGGTCTTTCTGGACTTTTTGGAAGACCCAAGAGGATCCGTCCCTGGTCTCCCCGCTGGATTGGTGGGATCAGGGTAAATTTTATTTGCGTGAGGTCACACGCTGTTTTGCTCGTGCCCGAGCTGCCACGCAACTTACACATCAGCGTTCCCTGAACAAGCAGTTGGCACAGCTTCAGAGGCGTTTCGATGCTGGTGATTCTGCTGCTTTTGCTGAGCTCTGTTCCATCCAGGAGGAGATTCGTGCTATCCACCTTCGCGAAGCCAGAGCTTCTCAGGTGCGTGCTAGATGTCGGTGGGCAGAGGAAGGTGAAACTTCTTCGGCTTTTTTCCTCAGCCTTGAGAAAAAGCATCGGGCTAAGCAAGTGGTGAGCAGCATTCGCGATCCTGACTCTGGTCTCGTCCACCATGACCCTTTTGCCATCTTGGGTACTTGGCGGCAATATTACCAGAAGCTCTTCACTGCTGATGTGTGTGATGCGGCAGCGCAGGACGCTGTCCTTGCACAATTAACCAGGTCGCTCAGCAAGGCAGAGGCGGAGTCTTGTGAGGGCCTTTTAACAATTGAGGAGTGTCATCGAGCACTTGCTGGCATGTCTCGGGGCAAAACTCCAGGTTCCGATGGATTCCCCATGGAATTCTTCGTTACGTTCTGGGACGTGATTGGCGTGGACCTAGTTCGCGTTTTGAACTGTGCGTATGTGAGCGGGAAACTTTCTACTTCCCAACGGCGCGGTTTAATCATTGTCCTTTACAAAAAAGATGACCGATTAGAAACCAAGAACTATCGCCCTATTAGTTTACTTAACGTAGACTATAAAATCGCTACTAGGGCTATTTCTGGTCGGCTTCTAGGTGTAATCGGCTCGGTTATCGGATCGGATCAGACGTGTGGTGTTCCTGGTCGCACCATCTCCGAGAACCTCGCACTGATCCGCGACCTGATTGAGTACGCTGATCGTGCTGATATACCTCTTGCCCTTCTTTCCCTAGATCAAGAGAAAGCATTTGATCGGGTGGATTGGGCCTTTCTCCAGCGAATCCTTTCTACGTTTGGTTTTGGGGATTCCTTTCGCCAGTGGATTCGGCTGTTCTATACAGATGTTGAATCTGCAGTGGTCATCAACGGTTGGACCTCGTCGTTTTTTCAACCATCACGCGGGGTCCGCCAGGGCTGCCCTCTTTCACCACTTCTCTATGTTCTCTGCATCGAGGCGCTGGCTTGTATGATCACAGCCTCTCCTGACATTGAGGGTGTTGCTTTGCCAGGGCGTGACGAGGTGTTCAAGTGTTCTGGCTATGCGGATGACACTTCCATTGCCGTCACTTCGGACACTTCAATGGGGGCAATTTTCGACACGTATGCCCTGTACGAGAAAGCATCTGGTGCCAAACTTAATCGTGGCAAATCGAAGGGCATGTGGTTGGGCGCCTGGAAGTTCCGGCAGGATTCCCCGTATGGTATCAAATGGGTGAAGGAACTGCAGCTTCTAGGTGGTACCTTTAGCGCCGGTGCCTATTCGGTTCCAACATGGGAACCTCCGGTGAAGAAGCTTGAACAGCGGCTGTCAGCTTGGAAGGGTCGGCAACTCACTCTCCAAGGCAAAGCGACGGTCATTAATACGTTAGCCCTCTCCCAAATATGGCATCTTTGCCATGTTTTTGTCATCCCGGAGTGGGCTATCAAACGTATCAAAAAGGCTGTTTGGGCTTTCTTTTGGTCTGGCCGCAAAGAGCTGGTTGCGCGTCGGACGGTTTGCTTGCCCAAAGCTCTGGGGGGTTTTGGCGTGATAGATTTTGAGCTGAAGGCCAAGGCTTTTTCCTTGCAGTGGGTGCGTCGTTACTTTTCGCCCACACCTGGCAAATGGAAGGCCTTCTTCAGTTTCTTTCTCCTGTCATGTCTTTCTGTCATGCCAGTTCAAGCTCTCTCTGTAAATACTTTCCCGCGTCGATTAATTTCTCTTCTGCCTTCGTACTACCAGTTTCTAATCCGCGCCTGGTTTCAGTTTGACGGGGGTGTGGTGGACGGGCTCCTCTCTTTGGATGTCTCGTCCAATCGACCTCGCTCCCTCCCCGAAATCAATTCCCATGCGGCCTATGTCATTGGCCGCCGGCTGGTCACTCCGGAACCTCACTGCATTGGCAAGTTCCGTCCCACTTACGGTCCGTTGTATTGGTCCCAGACTTGGGACCAAGTCCATTTAACAACTTTGGACAGACCGGTGGTTGACGTGAACTGGAAGATAGCGCACGGTGTTCTTTACACGGCCTCTCGTCTTGTCAACTCATTCGGGATGGCCAACATCGATGTGCGTTGTCACTGCCGTGCAGATGAGGAGACGTTGGAACACCTTTTCTTCGAGTGTGCCTATGCCAGGATTCTCGTCGGTTGGGTGTACTTCAACCTCATGGTTGTCTGTCCATCCGCTCCACCCTTCACCGTCGAGGAATTGCTTTTCGGGGTCAATACAAACAGGCGTCGCAACGTCCCTAAGATCATCTTGTGGATGTTGCAGGTAGTAAAGCACCACCTCTGGGTCGCTCGCTGTGATTTTCGTTTTCGCGGTGTGCTGCGCACAGAGGCAGAGTGCTTGAAGGCAATGATCGCGCGCTTAAAATTTTTGCTCAAAGTGCTTGCCGGCCGCTGTCGTTCTCCTTCTCAAATTCGGTCGTTTGAGAAGCAGTGGTTGGCCAATAAGACTCTTGGGCACTTTGAGGGGGAGAAGCTGGTCTTCTCATTTTAATTATTCTCCCTAAGCTTGGCTAGTCCTGTCGTCGTTCTGTGAAAGGTGGTCGCCTTTGTTGGTTGTACTGCCGGAATCGTTTCGTCGTGTTCTTGGGCTGGCTGGCTTAGTCTAATCTTTGCCGTTTCGTGATAGGGGGTCGCCTTCATTGGTTGTACTGCCCGGATCGGTTCGGTACTCTTGTGGCTTCTTTTTTAGCTTTTTTTAGCTTTTTTAACTCAGCTTAGCATTAGCTTAGCTTCGATTTAGATTCGGATAGCGTAGCCAGGTTAGATTTTTACATCTAGGTCTAAATATACCATCGTGCCGCGTCAGAATAATAAAAAAATGGCCGGTATATTTAGAACGGAGGTGGGGATCGTCCCCCCAGTTGTTTGCGTGCCGGTTGTGCCCTCCGAAATCCGAGGAACCCATTGCACGTCTCTCCAATGAGAGCGGGTTTGTCGTATTTAAAATAAAACTTACCTGACGCGAGAGGCACCTTGATCAACTAGGAGGTCCTCTCAGGATGAGGCCCTTTCATTGCACTTCGACTGGGTTGACTCCTGCGATTACCCCTAATGTGGGTAACTCGAGCGTATAATTTCTGGTAGTGGGGACCTGCGTTCGCGCTCGTCCCCTTCAACATATAATATTCATGTATAAAGCCCGTGTTCTTTTCTTAACACCGCCGTGTGTGTCGATTGTTTTTGTATAGAATCCCATGTCAAACATATCGTTTATCACAGAAGACACTCTTTATATATTCTCCGTGCCGAAATCTCTCCATCTCCAGTTCATATTACATGGTAAGTAAAGAGCTATACACGTGTTTATATTTTGTAAGCACTTCGGGTGTTTGCACACACTATTCAATTAATTCGCTGCTGTATAAAAGTCACTTGCTTGCCAACGGAATTTCAAGCCATCGCACGTACATTCCAAGTGCCCATTAACTGGCTGGCTCGCGTGTCACTCTCAAACGCACGTGTTTTGCCGGTCGAACTTATAGAATACCGAGTGAATATTCCAAAATCGCATTATTCCACGCCGCGTGACCCGAAACCTTTCCGGGTCACAACACAGTTTGCGAGTGAAAGAAGCTCGACGCATTCGTGAATCTTTGAAGAGCGCGAAAGCCGATACGCTCGCAACTCTCGTCTCACGCTCGATGCCACACGGCCGCCGTGCCCCTCTACGCGACCGCACGCGCGTGCGCGAGAGAACCGCCAGAGTCGCGGTGGGCGATCATCACGGACTTGCCGTGCTCGTGCGACGAGTAACCAGGCGCCTGTCGACGTCATAATCGCTCGCAAGCGAGCTCCTTCTCACCGCGTTTTCGTAGCACAAGTGTTCGGTAGAAATATGTGTGGCAGACGGCGAAGAAGGCATCGCTTCTCGGCCTTTTGGCTAAGATCAAGTGTAGTATCTGTTCTTATCAGCTTAATACACTAGCGATTCACAGGCAACGGGGAGCAATTAGTTGTTCCAGTTCAATTTTTTTTTGAACAACCAGCCATTTCTGCCATCGGAGGTTGCGCGTTGGGAGGTCTTTTAGAGACACCCAACTTCTCCAGTTGGTAGGCCTCGCAGCTAGGTTAGGACCGCGCTTAGTTAGTTCACCTAGGTTAACTAACTAAGGATTATCTAGATAACTATCTAAATTGGATAATTATCTAGTTCAGAATCGTTGTGCTTTTAGGACCTTCGCACTCGCTTAGCTGGGGATTCTATGCTCTGGATTGGTGCCAGTAACCCGGCTTTCGAGTTATCTACGAGCGGCTGCCTTCTTGCAGCTTCGACATCCTCTCCTTTCTTAGTAGTAGCTTTGCTACATAGCACAACGATTACCGCTCCTCAGCATTGCTGAGTTTGAGATTTTGCCTTCGTGTATATAAGTTCTATACACGTGGTCATCCCACGCGTATAGCTTGAAACTTTGCCGAACGCTTTTGGGCCTTTTCTTCGCGGGAAACTCAAAAGATTTCGACGGGGTTTGACTTATATACAAACTGTATCGGGTTTCCCTTGTCTAAGGTTTGAAACAAACACAGGAAAACAGCTTTTTTCCCTTGTTGTAAGCTGGTTTCTTCCCGATACGGTGAGTGATTTTCGAAAAAATATATGCAAATTTCACAACAATTTAGGTTCGAAATATAATACAAAGCGGGACATATTCACTGCGGTGTTTGTTGCTCTTATAGTGTTTCCCGGCTCTATCGAGTTCGCTCTAGCTGCTTGATAGCCCAGGAAACACTGCTGACTATTCTATTTCGATTTCTCCTTGGTTTATCCCAAGTTTGAGTCACTATCAGCGTTCAGTGTATACTTATCTACGGAATATAAAACGTGGCAGCTTAGCTGGCCTCGACCCACGCGTTATATTTTGAATACAATTAAGTCTGTGGCAGCCATCCTGGCCTCGACCCACTGCACCTGATTGCATTCACCACAGTATACACTCTCAAACGGGTCTCCTTTGCACTTGTAAAGTTTCGAGACAAAGTCCGAGGGCAAGACTTGCTGTAGTCCGTGCTCTCCCCGTGTGAGTTATTTTTCGGTTGCTTTCTTCTCAAAATACAGCACTACTCTCTCTCCTTCGCTTCTACCTTTAAAACCTAAAAATCTGATTGGTTCCTGTTTGGTCCTTGCCTGAAGGTGTCCTTTGCATAGTCAAAATTTAATATATTTTAATATTTATATATATCCTACTTACTTGTTCTTAAGTTCTCCTCTCCGATCAGTTTTAAATATATATTTTTCACGCTGAGATATTACTGAATGCAATGCATGCTCCTCTGTTTGATGGCTACCAAATCAACCGAGATGGCTTACAACATGACACCCATCATCATGGAATGCGTGGTGCCCTATCCAAAGGCCCCACATGGCTCCAAATGTCCTGCTTGCAACAAGGTACAACGCGACTCGTCAAGCTTCAAGACACACGCTCGGAAAGTACACAAGACACTTGATGCCCGGACACCAACAACCTGCACCGTGTGCCAACGAACTTTCCCCACCTTCCGTGCAGGATCCATCCACTATGCCCGCCAACATGGTCCAGCATCCCAACCAAAGAGTGACTGCACCAAGGAAGCAACACCCACCTTGCAACCAGCTACTTCACCAACCGATCCTGACACACCAACGCCTCCAACCCTTCTCCCCTCAACACCGGAGATCCACGCCATTATCCGTGAAGTTGTCAACCGCTCCCCTCCATCGACCTGCCTCACCATCCCACGTTCCCGCCGAAGATCACAGTCACCCTCTACCCAAGAACTCATCGCAGACTTCCTCCAAAATTCTCCCACCCGTCCAATCTCACCAATGACCCCATCACAGCCGACTACCAACTCCACGACCTTCTGCTCCCGTTCCCCATCTCCTGAAATTGCTCCTCCTATTCCACTACACAGCAGATCCACCATATGTCCCAACCCAGAACCCCAGGTCCGCAACCTGCTCAATTATTACCGTGGCATGTCCAACAACAACAGACCCAGCAATAGTCCCACCAACAGTTCTCCCACCAGTCCTTCTGACACGCCCCCACCTCGCACAAACCACCAACCTTCGGAAACCCTGGCGGCAATCAATTCCACCGTCCATCGCCTGAGAGCCACCCTCGAAGATGTTCCTGAGGACGAAGGTCCCTCACAGTCACCACCTAGACCAGACAACCCCCCTCCAAGAACCTCGCCCTCTACCCCTCCACCAACACTAACACCAGTATCCGCCATCTCACCTATCCCACCAACGCCAGATACCCGTGATGCGACCACACGTGATGTCCCTCCTAACCAGCCAACGCGGACACACCCTCCACCAGACCTTGACTCCTCCCAAGATGCCCAGTTACCAACCAATGACAACGAGCTGGTCACTGAGTTCCACCAACATTGGTCCACCACGTTCTCCTCCAACCTCCCGTGGGAAGATTTCTCTGAGCAGTGTGTTCTCTTTGCCGATGCGTGCCGCACCCTTGCCACCTCCCTCAACCAGCCTCCACAGCGCCAAACCACCGAACACCCACCCAACCGCCCAAGACACCCACGAGCCAGCCGACCTGTCCACCGTTTCAATCCTAGTGAAGCCAAACGGATTCAAGGCCTATACCGACATTCCAAAAAACGAGCAGCGCGGAAGATCCTAACCAACAACAGCACAACATACACAGGATCCAAGCAAGCTGCTCAGGATTTCTTTACTGACGTCTTCTCCACCCGTCCGTGTGATACCGCCTCCCTGCTTCACCACCTCCAAGAATCTGTGCCTCCCTCTGATGAGGACAACACACACCTTGCCTCTGACATGACTGAAGAAGAGGTCTCCACCAAGCTCCGCTCTGCTGCCAACACTGCCCCCGGGCCAGACCGCGTGGAATACCGGCACCTGAAGAAAGTCGACCCAAATGCCAAGATCCTGTGCCTCATCTTTAACAGATGCCTTCACGCCAATGACGTCCCCCAAGCTTGGAAAGATGCCCTCACCATCCTCATCCACAAAAAGGGAAACCCTGATGATGCATCCAACTTCCGCCCAATTGCCCTTATGTCGTGCATCTACAAGCTGCTTATGGGAGTCCTCGGCAAACGTATCTCTTCCTGGGCGATCCAACAGAACATACTGTCCGACGAACAGAAAAGCGCACGCCCATCAGAGGGATGCTACGAACATACGTACCTCCTCAAGTCTGTTATCCGTGATGCCCGCTTGAACAAGAGAACCGTCTATGTCGCTTGGCTAGACCTCCGCAACGCCTTTGGCAGTATCCCGCATGACGCCATCCGCACCACTCTACATCATGTAGGTGTCCCTGACAACCTGATTACGCTGATCTCCAACGCATACACTGGAGCTACCACATCCATCCGCACCGGACAAGAGACCACCGATCCCATTCCAATACGTGCTGGTGTGAAACAAGGCTGTCCTCTGAGTGCGATCCTATTTAACCTGTGCCTGGAACTTGTCCTAAGAGCCATCAAACAGAAAGCTGCATCTCTTCCTCGAAATCAATCCCTCACGCATTTCGAGTCTCTTCTCTCTTGTCTGGCTTACGCTGACGATTTAGTTTTAGTTGCTCGCAATAAGGATGCCCTTCAGGCTCTCCTCGATAGTGCTTCCTCTGCTGCCTCGGTGATTGGCCTCGAGTTTCGACCCGATAAATGTGCTACCCTATCGTTTATCAATCGAAAAGGTGAACCTGCTCGTGTCGACCGCAATGTCTTCAATGTACAAGATCACCCAATCCCTTCCCTCGCTGCTGAAGAATCATATCGATACCTTGGTGTGCCCATTGGAATGATCCATAATATCGACGACCTCGACTCAGTTATCCCACAGCTCCTTGATGACCTCGAAGCCATACGAACCTCCCTCCTCGCGCCTTGGCAGAAACTGGATGCCATCCGAGTCTTCGTCCAACCGGCCTTGACCTACGCCCTCCGTGCTGGCGACCCTCAGAAACAGTCCTTAACGGAATACCGCAAGAAGCTTATCCGTACCCTCCGCGAGATCTGTGACCTCCCTACTCGTGCTTCACACGCATATTTCTTCGCCTCCAAAAGTGTTGGCGGCCTCGCCCTCCAAGATCCCACCGCTGAAGCTGACATACAGTGTATTGTGCAAACCATCCGCATCCTATCAGCCAGTGATCCCACCGTTTCCTCCATTGCTCGTGCTGAGTTATTAGCTGTTGTCCGTCGCACCACCCGCTCGAATCCTTCTCCAAACCTCGTGTCCAGATATCTCTCTGGTGACAGTGACAACCCATTCACACACCTATACTACACGTATACCTCCCTCTGGTCCCGGTGTCGCATGGCCTGCCGTCGCCTCAAGATACGTCTTACCCTCCCAGAAACTGAACACCCCACCATAACCGCTACTGACTCTGGTCCGATCAAGGCTCGTGGTGCCTCATCTTTCCTCCATCGCGTAGTCCAACAGAAGCATGGTAAGACGCTCCTCGACCTCCCAGATCAAGGCAAAGTGGCCCGTTGTTTATCCACCGATTCCTATGCCAATGGATCCACCTGGCACACCACCGGACTTAACATCCGATTCCGAGATTGGCGTTTCATTCACAAAGCCCGCCTCAACTGCCTTCCAACAAATGCTGTGAAGAGCCGATGGTCCAATACTCCTCCCACCTGTCGACATTGTACTGAACCTGAGACTTTACCCCATATTGTCAACCACTGTCGTCCAGACCTCGTTCACATCCGCCAACGACACAACAAACTTGTCGATCGGATAACCACCGCGGTACGTTTTGGCACCATCACCACCGACCGTACAGTCACCCAATCTGGCCTCAACCTACGCCCAGACATCATTGTTGAAGAAGACGATCAGATCTTAATAATTGACGTTACTTGTCCCTTCGACAATGGTGCTGATGCCATGGAAGAAGCAGCCAACGCCAAGATTCTCAAGTACCAACCCCTGAAAGAATACTTCCTCAATCATAATAAACAGTGCGAAGTCTATCCTTTCGTTGTTGGCTCCCTCGGATCCTGGTACCCACCTAATGAACTCCTCCTCAACAAACTTGGTATGACCCGACGCTACAAAACCCTCTTCAGAAAACTCTGTTGCACCGACGCCATCCAAGGTTCCTGTGATGTATACCGCCTGCACATGGGATGGGATCAACACACCTAAAACTCGAGGCCCGGTCCTTTCTTGTTCTCCTCTACCCCTTTCCTGTCTTCGTTTTCCTCTTCCACCCAACCCTTCTCCTCGTTCTTACAGCACTAGGCTGACATGGCACTTTATTTTTCATTTTGACACTGATATTTTTTTTTTTTTTTTGTTTTTCCCCCTTTATACACACACATGCCCAGGCCACTATGGCACATGCCTCACCTTAGGTACTCGTCCATGAGAAAATCCCCGCTCATGAGTCGACATTTCAATTGCATGCAAAACCAAAATAAGCTAGACACAACGGCTAAGTTTGTTTACCTCTTAAGTTTCAGATTAAGGCACCAGGAGCACACAATAAGCTCAAATCAGTTTTAAGTTTAGGACCTAGGACCACATGCGTGAAATAAACGCACTAGCTAGACCCCTCAGACGGACCCCATCTTTTTTGCGCATGATTTTGATAAGAAACTCTGTTCTTATCAGCTTAATATCTGATATGTTAGGCAATGCCTAACTCATATATTAAACTGATTTTTGGACTTCGGCCATGGGATTGAAGCTTGCTTCGCCCTGGCCACGGGTTGTCTCGGTATTGCACTACATCCGATTACGGCCCCTTCCCCACTCGGGGAAGAACATTGTTTTTATTTCAAATCAAACTATAAAGCAATCTCTACTTTATTAGACGATTACACACACTTGAGTACTTTTCACATGCCGATCGATTTATATTAACGCCATACTCGAATACCACGTGAAATAATATATCATGGCTTTCTCATGCATATATAACATACATATCATATGACTTGTAACACTTTATTATTTATCCTATGCCGATATTTCACACCGGCCTTGTGAGCGTGTTTTAGTTCAGCTATGAACCGAATCAACTACATCTAATTTTAACTAACATACTTTTTCATTCTCTAGATCGCGGCACATGACGTTCAAGACAAGAGGGAAACCCCCGAACTACCACAATCGCGTCTCATCATCATCGCGTATATAAGGTGAGCGCCGTAAACAACAGCATACTTACCTGACGCAGGTACTTACATGCGTCAGGTTCTTCACCCTTGCAGTGGAGGATCTATGCTTGGAACACGGTCCATAACTCTGCTGTCAAGGTTATCAACTAGCTGCAGTTCTTCGTGCAGACACGCCCTCGTCTTTGTTCTTGTCTTCCGGTTGCTGGCCAGCCTAACTTGTTAGGTGTTAGGTAGTAACCACTCCACTTCTTTTTCTCTTTGACTGCTTGCCTTGGTCTTCGGATCTTGGTTAAGTAGTTTTCCTGGCTGTGGGACTGGGTGGCTAGCACCCAGCACAGTCTTAAGGCCGCCAGTACCAGTGTTTTATTGTTTTACTAGGTAGTGGTGACTAGTGTGTTTCTGGTTGTTTCCTGTCGAGTGGTCTAATTAGGGGATCACTCAAAGGAAGGCTGTCTTTGTTGGTCTTTGTCTTTGCCTTGTTGCGGGCAGCAGCTTTGGGCTGTTTTTGTCCGTTCCCTGGTTTTCTTTCTTTTCCTGGGTAGTTAGTGATTGACGTGTTGGTTCAATCACTGTTTGTGGTGCTGCTCCTTTTGTTACGGGGGGGGTAGTAGATTGTACCTGGGATTTTGGTGATTGTCTTTGGTTTTTGGTGCAATCACTCTTTTGTTAAGTTTTGTGCTGGTTGTATTGTGCACATATTTACTTGACCTTTGTTCTTTGGCGATTGTTTTTGTACTTTTTGGTGCAATCGCTCTTTGGTAGTTGTTTGTACCCTTTTGGTACATTTGCTCTTTGTGCCGTTGGTTTTGGGCACCTTTGCTTTTTGCGGTTGTCTGTGTGCTTTTGGCGCAGTCGCTCTTTTCTCGAGGTGTATTAGTATATTTATTTATATCTATATATCTGGCTTTTCCTTCTTCTATATAAACGGTGGTCGCCTTCAGTGGTTGTACTGCCTGTTTTATTTGGGGATCAGTCAGGCTGGTGTTTGGTGGCGCAGCGGGTTGCCTCTGTTGACCATCTTATCTTCACTAATACACCTATTACTTATTATATACAATTATGTCACACCCTAACTTTACCGCGGACGACTTTGCAAAGTGGAACCAGACCAGTTCCTGCTTTCGCCTCCCCAAACGGCTGGTCGGCAAGGACGCCGTAAAAGATGTTAGGGTAGATTTAATTAAGGCCATTGGGGCTGAGAGGGTCTCTGCTGTTCAGGCGTTGCCTGACCATCAGTATCGGATTGCATTCACCTCTTCCTCCTATAAGATGGGTTATGACCTTAATGGGCTTAGTTTTCGCGGTGTCAACATCACACCAACCCCGGCATATGAGCAGCTCATGAATGTCTTTGTTGACAGAGCTCCTCTCCATATGCCCAATGATTATATTTCATCTGCTTTGTCAGCATATGGCCGTGTAGTTGGCGTTCGGGATCTTACCGTTAAAGGCTACCAGGCTATCCGCACTGGGACGCGTATGGTCACCATGTCCCTTCTTCGACCCATTCCTCTGGTAGTCAAGATAGCCAATTTCCCGTGTTCAGTACGCTACAGAGGTCAGCCACCGTATTGCCTAGCTTGCAACACTTTTGGGCATTTTTCCCGCCGTTGCCAGGGCAAGGCGAAGCAGCTACCTGTAAACGCTCGGGCGCCTGTTCAGCGCACCCAGCCTATGGAGGCGTCCTCGCCTCATTCATCTTCACCAGCAGCCTCCACTGTTCATGTACATGCCGCTCCTCCTGTATCAGATGATCTGCCAGTGGATTCCGCTATTGTTGCTGTCCCTCCCACCGGGATGGAGCTGGATAGTGACGCTGGCACTGCTGGTACCTGTTCTTCTGAGGATGTCACTTCTCCTCAGCCCAAGCAATTGGTCATCACGATTAGTGAGTTTCGGGAGTCGCTTGCGGTTACGCAGGACTTCTCCTGCCAGCGCGATGTGTCGGTCGTGCCGCGGCTCTCACACACTCGTCATTCGCCAAAGCGCCTGCAGAAGCCTCGGTCGACTGCGGGGGCTAAAAAGTCTTTTTCTTTGTCCGTGCCCGTTACGGGTCTTCCATCCTCCCCGGCTAGCTCGCCTCAGCATGCTGCTGAAGCGCACGGCTTATCAGACTCGGTCGTGCCTGATACGCCTGTTTTATCTCGTCGCTCCGGCAAAATTACACGGACTAAGCACATTCGGGAACGGAGGCTGTTTAAATCAAGCCGTCATCTGTCGGTAACAAAGTCTCCTTCCTCTACTACAGTGGCTGTCGCCCAACACCACACAGTGGAAACGTCTGTGGTTTGCACGGATGCTTCTGTTCCAGCACAGTCTCCTGTAACCACCAGTAACCGTTTCTCCCTCTTGGGGGATGAAGTGGATGATTTGGCTTCCCTTGCAGGGACCGTTGTCGATCCGCTCGCCAGTCCTTTGCTGGTCAATGGTGCTGCCGAGCTGGTTGATCCTGCGTCTCCATCCGGTATTCAACCACCTGTACCTTCTGGCGATCTTGCAGCCGCTGCGGGTCCATCTGACGCTGATGCGTCCCTATCCGCGCCGTCACTGCAGCTGCATTTGTCTCTGAGTGAGCCACCTGCTACGCATAATGAGCCTGTTATTTCACCGGCTCTTCCTTCCTCTTCTGCCGGCACTTCTGTGGGTCATACGCCAGTACGCACTACTCCACCTGTGCCTTCTGTGCCTACATCAGATGACGCTGCCACTTCTGCTGCAGAATTTTCTCCGCCCCCTGTGCCCTTCCGGCAGGCCTCGGTTCCTGCTCTAAATTCTGGTTCTGCTGGTTCTCCAGCTGCGGATTCCAACTACTCTTTTGCTCTGGCTGGTTCTTTGGCTCGATCGTTTTTGTCAGAGGAGGATGATCCTCTGTCTTCGCTTCCTTCTGCTTCCGGGCAGCAGCAGCAGGATGCTTTAGCTGATCAGTCTCTGGTCAGACTTTTTAACAATAATAATAATGTATAACTTACTTACATTAAATATAAACGGTCTTAATGACCATATAAAACGGACAGCTCTAATTGATTGGCTGAAATGCATGCAAGCAGATATTGTTTGCCTTCAAGAGACGCATGCATCTTCTCACAGTACCATCTTGAGCTGGTTCCGTCATTCTGGTTTTCGGGTGGCCTCATCTTCTTTTTCAAATAAGCGATGTGGGGTCGCCATTTTAATTAGAGATATATATACATTTACTCAGGTTCGTAAGGACGACGATGGTCGATTCTTGCAGGTCGAGATCGACATCGACGGGAACAAGTTACGCTTTGTTTCTTTGTACGCGCCAAACAAGAATCCGGCACGCAACACCTTTTTTGCGAACCTACCAGATTTTATTGATTTGGCAGTACCCACTTTCCTTTGCGGTGATTTCAATGCCGTCCTGGACCCGGACTTAGATAGGCGCCGCCATCCGTCTTATGCCGGTCCTTCTCAGGCGGCCACGGCCCGTGAAAGTGTTGCTGCCTTACAATCCTTGCTTTCTGCCACGCATACTTTTCCTGTGTGGCGTACCCGTAACCCTACGGAGCGGATCTTCTCGTGGGATCATGCCTCGGGTAAGTTTTCTTCCCGAATCGACATGATCTGGGCACCTTTGGTCTTGGACCAATCGATCACTGACTGCCAGTACCATACCTCCTTTTTCTCAGATCACCGCTACATGTTGCTCAAGTTCCATTTGGGTGACGTGTTTGCGCGTGGTCCGGGGGTATGGAAATTCAATACGTCGCTGCTGGACAGTCCGGAGTATTGTGCCCTGGTTCGCTCTTTTTGGACTTTTTGGAAGACGCAGGAGTCCTCTTCCACCTTTTCCTCTTCCCTTGATTGGTAGGATCAGGGGAAGTTTTTCCTTCGGGAAATTACTCGTTGTTTTGGCCGTGCTCGAGCTGCCGAACGGTCTAGGACTAAACTGGATCTGGACGCCAGCTCAAGCGCTTGCAGCGTTTGTTTGACGCCGGTGACTCTTCTGCCTTTTCTCAACTTTGTGCTGTGCAAGAGGAGCTTCGTGCAATACACCTTCATGAAGCCAAGGCCTCGCAAGTACGTGCGCGCTGTCGATGGGCCGAAGAAGGCGAAACATCCTCCTCTTTCTTTTTAAGTTTGGAGAAAAAGCACCGGGCCAAGCAGGCGATCGCTAGTATTCGTGACCCTGACACAGGACTCATTCATCATGATCCATTTAAGATCTTGGCGACATGGCGCTCCTACTACCAACGCTTGTTCACGGCTGAGGACTGCGATCGATCCGAGCAGGACATCATGCTGGGTCGTTTAACTCGTCGTTTGAGCAAGCCGGAGGTCGAGTCCTGTGAAGGGGATTTATCGGAACCAGAATGTCGCGCTGCTCTTCATGGCATGTCCCGTGGCAAGACGCCGGGTTCTGATGGATTCCCGATGGAATTCTTCGTTTCTTTTTGGGACCTTCTCGGTCCAGACCTTGTTCGCATTCTCAACCTTGCACATCGAACTGGTCAACTTTCCACATCACAACGTAGAGGCATCATCATTGTTCTGTACAAGACGGATGATCGCCTCGAAACTAAAAATTACCGCCTTATCAGTCTACTGAACGTGGATTATAAAATTGCAACTAGGGCTATTTCTGGCCGCCTTTTGGGCGTTATTGGCTCAATTGTCGGTTACGACCAATCGTGTGGTATCCCGGGTCGTACTATCTCCGAGAACCTCATGTTGATACGTGATCTCATTGAGTATGCTGATCGGGCAGACATCCCCCTTGCCATTCTCTCTCTGGATCAAGAGAAGGCTTTCGATCGGGTTGATTGGTCTTTTCTGCAACGTATCCTCGTCACGTTTGGTTTTGGCGATTCATTCCGGCAATGGATCTCCCTTTTTTACACTAATGTCGAGTCTGCAGTCGTCATTAACGGCTGGACTTCTTCTTTTTTCAAGCCTTCTCGTGGTGTTCGACAAAGCTGTCCTCTTTCGCCCCTTTTGTATGTCCTTTGCATCGAAGTATTGGCATGCAGCATCACTGCTTCACCCGTCATCGAGGGTGTTCCTCTACCAGGTGCGGATCGGGTGTTTAAGTGCTCGGGGTATGCCGACGACACATCTATTGCGGCTACCACTGACACTTCGATGCAGGCCACTTTCGACATATATCCCCAATACGAACGGGCGTCTGGGGCTAAGTTGAACCGTGGCAAGTCCAAGGGCTTGTGGTTAGGTGCCTGGAAAGATCGACAGGACACCCCTTTTGGCATCAAATGGGTGAAGAAGTTGTCGTTGCTGGGTGCTACCATCAGTGCTGGCGATTACTCCACAGCCACTTGGGAGGCTCCAGTCGCTAAGGTCGAGAAGCGCTTGTCGTCCTGGAAGGGGCGTCAGCTTACCTATCAGGGTAAGGCGACAGTGATCAACACCTTGGCCCTCTCCCAGATCTGGCACTTGTGCCATGTGTTTACCATCTCGGAGTGGGCCAAGAAGCGCATCACCAAGGCTACTTGGGGTTTTTTCTGGTCGGGTCGCCGTGATTTGGTTGCACGCCGTACCGTTTGTTTGCCCAAGGGTCAAGGGGGCTTTGGCGTCATTGACTTTGACCTGAAGGCGAAGGCTTTTGTCATTCAGTGGGTCAAACGTTACTTTGCTCCAACACCTGCTAAATGGAAAGCCTTTTTTAGTTTCTTTTGTATGTCGTGTCTGTCCGTCACACCTGTAGAAGTGTTTTCCACTTCCACTTTTCCGCGCAATTTGATTGCCCTTCTTCCTCCTTTCTACCAGCACATCGTCCGGGCATGGTCCCAGTTTGATGGTGGTGCTGTTGCTGGCATTCTCTCGTTGGATGTCTCTTCCACCACGCCTCGTCCTCTTGTGGAACTCAACTCACACTCGACCTACGTGATCGGCCGTCGTCGCATCACTCCCCAGCACCACTGTATCGGCAAGTTTCTGCCTCGGTACGGGCCGCTGCACTGGTCCGAAACTTGGGACCAGATCCATCTTCAGTCCTTGGATCGTGCAGTCGTTGATGTGAACTGGAAGATCGCCCATGGTGTCCTCTACACTGCTTCCCGCCTCGTCACCGGCTTTGGGATGGCCA